GTGTGTGTGTGTGTGTGTGTGTGTGTGTGTGTGTGTGTGTGTGTGTGTGTGTGTGTGTCCCAGGGCCCCTTCAAAAGCCCCGCCTCGCAGAGGCCCGGGGCACCCGCGAGAGCGTGGGAGATGGTCGCGCCTTCGCGCGCCTCGGTCTTAGCCAGGAGGACTGCCTTTCTCCAAGGGGGCGGCGCGGGAGCGCGCGCGCGCGCGCGCCCCCGCGCGCGCGCGCCGCGCATCGCCGGGCGCGATGCGCATCGCGGGGCGCGATGCGCGAGGTTGGGCGCCCTGGGAAAGGAGGGGAAGGAACACACAGACACAATCAATCGTCGATTCCCCAGAAAATATTGGAAAATATGGGCAGTGAGGGGGAAGGGCAGAAACCCCGAAAAAATGGGAAAATATAGGGGAATCTGTTTATTCGTGTGTGTGTGTGTGTGTTTATTTGTGTGTCCCAGGGCCCCTTCAACTATCACGACCCGACTCGAGCCGATTCGATGTCGGCTCGAGGCCGCTCCGGCTCGCCTCCGACGTCATGGCATTGTCGTGTCTTCTGTGGCGCGGCCGACCCAGCCCGGCCCATTAGCACGCGTTGGTCACCGAGCGCGTGCCACTACTCGCGAAATGCCAACTCGCACACCTCCGCGAGCATGTCGCGCTCGTCTAGTTGGTTCGATCCGATGTAATTACCGATGCGCTGCTGGTTTGTTTTGTCCCCGAGGCCCATGCCGGTGGTAATGGGGGGTGACACACGTGGGGGGAGGGGGGGGGGAAAGGGCCTTCAAGGGGCCCTCTGGGGTCCCTTTCGGAGCCAGCTGGTGCCGCACAGGGGCCCTGAAGGGCCCCTTCAGGGCCCTCTTTCTCTTCACCCCCCCTCTGGGCCACCCCCCACTGCCGCCCGCCCGAGACGCAGCCCAGGCAGCCGAGGCCCCTGGCTCTGTGCCGCCCCGGCGTGGCTCTCCTCGGCCTCGCTCGGCCTCCGAGGGCCGCTGTTTTTTTGCTGCCATGGCTGGGCGAGAGACCTGCGCCCCGGGGCAGGGCTCGGGCGCCGAGGGCGCCGGGGCCCAAGGCCTGCAGAGCACCGATCGCCGGAAGACATCGGGGGCCCCTGCATGCCTCGTGGCGTCCTCGCCGGGCCCGGCAGGGCGCTCGCGCACCCCGAGGCTGCGGCACGGCACGGGCGAGTGCCGGCTCCTCCCGCGCGTCGGCGGCGGGAGGTCGCGGGGGATTTCGGGCGTCTGGCTCATGACTGCCCCGGGACGGTCCACGAGGCTCCCAAGACGGCCCAAGAGGACCCCAGGAGGGGCCCCAGGGAGGCCCAATACGGCCCAAGATGGACCCAAGACGGCCCGCCCCAGGAGCCACCCCAGGAGTTCCGAAAGGGTTTCCTACAGGGCCGCCCGCGGCAGGAGAACGCCATTCTAACAATCATCGCGAGAGCTACGGCGGTCGCTGACTGCGTCGCACACCCCAGAACGCACCGCCAAAGTTCTATTCCCTCAGCTCCGTTGATTCAACCCACGGGTCCACACTAGTGTATATATATATATATACACACATATCCCTATTCTTATATTCTGATTACCCGGAACCCCCCTACCCCCCCCCTAAACTGGACCCCCTCCCCACAGGACACCCCAGACGCCCCTGCCCTCCACCCAACAAACGCCCTTGACGCCCTTTCGGAGTCCGGCAGCCTTCCGGGCAGTTGGACGTCCCTGCCGATGGGAGCCCACGTGCCCAAAACGGGCCCCAAGACGGCCCATCAGCGCTCAAAGATGGCCCCTTATGGTTTCAAGACGGCCCACGAGGCCCCCAAGACGGTCCAAGAGGCCCCAAAAGGGACCCCCAAGAGCCCAAAATCGTCCCATTCCTTAAGGAAACGTACGCTTTTGAAGATATTAGCTTTTTCCGCTGTCACAGTGTCCACGGCATCCCCAGAGACTCTCAAGATCGCCTCAGGACGGCCTCCGAGGCCTCTATGAGCGGCCCAAGGCGGCCCAAAAGAGCTCCAAGACGGATCAAGAGAAGCCCAAGGCGGCCCAAGAGGGGCCCCAGAGGGCCCCGAGAATTCCCAAGAGGGCCCCCGAAAATCCCCTGGCCGGCCCGGCCATCCAAAACGACCAAAATAGGGTCGGCCCAAGACGGCTCCAAGACGGCCCAAGACAGCCCCAAAAGGAGTCCTCTGGTCCAGAGAGTCACCAGGAGCTCAAATGCGAGCCCACACCGTTCCAATTTAGTTTCCATCAGTTTTCTTACACTCCACGAGGCCGTAGTTCGCAGGACGGTGGTTCGAAAGGACCTCAGACGCCCCACAAGCGTCCAGGACCCCTCCAGGCATTCAGGAAGCGACCAATCATCGTCGCCGCCGTCGTCGTCGACGTCGTCCTACGGAGGAGCAGGAGGTCTCGGCCTGTCATCACGGGCTGCCGCCTCATTATTGCGTAGCCCGCTTACTGACGCCCCGGGCGCTCGCTCCCGCGGCCTGCCCGGGAGGAGGAGCAGGAGGAGGAGGAGGAGGACGACGACGAGGAAGGGCCAAGTTTCTGAGCGCTTCTGGTCCCATCGGGAGCTTCCAGAGGCCCTCGAGAGACGAGCGCCCCATCTGCAGTCCAGACGAGCAGACGAGAGCCCCATCGTCGTCGTCATCGTCGTCGTCGTTGCCGTCGGCGTCGTCGCCGTCGTGGTGGTGCTGGTGCTTGTGGTGGTGGTGGTCCTCGCGATCGTGGTCGTATTCGTGGTCTCGACGCCCCCTCTGCTGAAACACGCGATGACTTATTGCTTGTCCGAAAAGCGTCCGGAACAAGGCGCATGGCGCCAAGCGCCAATGCAGTTTTGTATATATATGTATATATATGTACAGATATATATATATATATATATATGTATATATAGATATATATGTCCGCCCGAGGTGGAGTGCCCGAGGCAGCGACGGCTGCCATCCCGGTTTTCTGCCACGCGGGCAATGTCTAATTACATATGGTCGAGGGTTAGGGCTGCTCCTCCTCCTCCTCCCCCCCCATCCCCCATCCCATCTTTGGGGGGGGGGCCGAGGACCCCGGGACCCATCCCATTTGGGGGGGGGCCCGAGGACCCTCAGCCCGCGATCATATATCCACATCCCGTGCGTCGTGGAGTTGCGGGCTCTCTTCCCCAGGAACATGAGGCGCACTGGATGTGGATTGAGAACTGGCCCCGAAATGCTCGATTTTTATGTCCATCTCCAGTGCGCCTCGGCCTTGCGGCGCCCTTCCAAGGAATTCCAAGACGCAACGGATATGGACATAAGTATTGCTCGCATTCCACGCCCACGTCCCCGGTGCATCGGCGATGCGGCGTGATGCCCTGACCAGATCTGCTCCGACCCCAGTTGGGGGGCCTCTCTACTCTTAAATCGGGCCTGTCCCTCTACAGGAGGAATATTCAAAGATATTCCAAAGATAGTCTGAGGACGATGTTTTTATTATGGTTTAGTATGTTTGATTATTCTGGATTCTTTTTCGTCCAAAGTCCGCCTGTAGGGGGACGCCCGACCTGACTCTACTCCCGGGGCTGTCTGTGCACACCAGGTCACCCCCAGAGGCGCGCAGCTGGTCGCGCCACGCGCGTCGTTGCCTGGGCCAGGGCGGTTGCCCTCGTCCACGGGGGGGACGAGAGGGCAAAGGAGGAAAGAGCAGGAGGAGGAGGAGGAAATGCAGGAGGAGGAGGAGGAGGAGGAGCAGGAGGAGGAGGAGGAGGAAGAGAAGGAGGAGCCAGGATTGGAGGAGAGTTTCTCCCCTCGTCCATGGGTGGCCGTTTGAGGGAGGAAATGCCACCCCGATCCCGACAAGTGGAGCTTGCGAAACGGCCCTGGGCGTTTGCTATAAACAGCCCTGCCCTGGTGATCGTTGCCTTATTCATTGTTTTGCCGATCCGCGCGGGCCCTCGCCCCCCCCCCGTGGAGTAGATCTTGCCTGTTCTTGGCGCCTGTTTTTGGCAGGTGGGGTCTCCCCACAGGACATACTGTTGCAAGCAGCCGCGCTAGGCAGGAGTCTGGAGCCAGACCCCCCCTCCCCCCCCTTCCGCCCAATATCTGGGGGGAAACTAAAACACAGACACAATTAACCGTCGATTCCCCAGAAAATATGGAAAACTATGGGAAGTGGGGGGGAAGACAAAAACCCAGCAAATATGAGGAAATATGGGGAATATTTTGATTTGTGTGTATTTATTTGTGTGTCCCAGTTCCCCTTTCAGAATAAGAAAACGCCTTCGCAGGTCGGAGTGCTTCGAGTGGGGGTGGACGTTCTGCTCTCTGGCCTCGGCACATGCCCAGGGCCCTGCCGCGGCGCACGCCGGGCGTGCAGGCGCAGCGAAGGCGTCGATGAGCGCGGTCCACCGCTCACGAAGTGCCTACTCGCAAACGTCCGAGAACAAAAAAACATGCTCGCCTCGATGGAACGCATCGTGAGTCCCCTGCGGCGGATCCAGGCCAACGGCGAGCAGCTCCTGTGCGAGCAGTGTTAAGTCGGGCATGTCCCTCTACAGGAGGAGTATTCAACAATAGTCAACAAAACGGTCTGGAGACGAGTTTTGTTTCGACTATTCGTTTTCATTGTTGAGCATGTTTTGACCAGGGTTTCTCCTTCGTCCTCCATAATCCCCCTGTAGGAGGGCATGCCCGACCTGAGAGTATATCGGAAACTGGAGTTTATACATTACCACTGGCGGGTTGTTTTTCAATCCTAGGAATTTGTGAGGGTCGGGGACGACGTCGGGGTGGTGTGGTGTATACTTATTTCCCCGTTTTCCCAGGGAAGCAGTGGAAACTGTATACACCAGGATCCCCAGGAGCCGCATTCGTGTGCGACTGTCAGTGCGGGGCCGGCAGAGAGCGTCGGTGCTTTGAGTTCGGCTCCTCAGTATAGCGGGACGCGCCTGCCGAGAAGGCCGGGCCGCCGAAGGCCGCCGAGGGGGCCGCCGCCCGCCGCCGAGCGGCCGCCAGGCGATGCCCTGCGGCGGCGGCGGCGCCGCCGCGGCGGCCGAGCGGCGCCCCGCCCCGGCCTTTGTGCGGCTGTGGGCGCGGCGCGCCGCGGCGGAGCTGCTGGCGGCGCTGCTGGAGGAGCCGGGCGGCGCCGGGGGTCTCAGCAGGAAGTCGGGCATGTCCCCCCACAGGAGGAGAAATAGCCCACAACAGTCCACCAAAAAGAACAGTGCGGGAACGAGTCTCTACTATTTTTGATTACGCTTCGATATGTTTGCGCTACTTCTTCATTTTCGCCCAAAATCCGGGGGGCCGTCTGGGGAGGCTCTTGCGCCGCCCTGGGTCCTCGTGGAGGCTTCGGGGGCGATCTCGGGGGTGCTCTCGGGGTCGCGGGGGCCTGTGTGCTCCGGCCCCGGCTCGCCTGCCCTGGTCGGTGCAGACCTGCAGCGAGTCCGACCGCATGCGAACCTGGAGTGCAAGGAGTCGGGCATGTCCCTCTACAGGAGGAACATTCAAAAATAGTTTGTTTGTTGATATATATATATATATATATGTATTAAGAAGTAAAATCGGTGCGGGAACGCTTTTTCAACTATTTTTGGTTACTCTTGAATGTGTTTGCACGATTTTCTTCATTTTCGCCCAAAATCCGCCTGCAGGAGGACAAGGCCGACCTAATCTCAACATCGTCCGATCGTCCGACCTATATATCCTGAGAGCCGGGCGTGGCGCTGGTTTCCCAGCGGGCGGGTTCGCTCCCCTTGGCGGGCCCCGTGAGCCTCACAGATCGATCCGGCTCGAAGAATGACGCCGGAAGACGAGCTCCAGGGTTGCGGCCGTGATTTTTGGCGATGTGTTGCAGTTTTCTGCAGCGTCGAATCTCAGGGCACGGTCAGGAATTCTGGCTTGGCGTGTCGCGGCGCCTGTTCTGGTCCACCACGCTTGAGCCCGACACGCCGTCCACAAGGAGGAAAAGGAGGAGGAGGAGGAGGAGGAGGAGAACAGGAGGAGGAGGAAGAGAGGAGGAGGAAGAGGAAGAGGAGGAGGAGGAGGAGGAGGACGACGACGAGGAGGAAAAGAAGGAAGAAAAGAAGGAGGAAAAGAAGGAGGAGGAGGAGGAGAACAGGAGGAGGAGGAGGAGGAGAGGAGGAGGAAGAGGAAGAGGAAGAAGAGGAGGAGGAGGAGGAGGACGACGAGGAGGAAAAGAAGGAGGAAAAGAAGGAGGAGGAGGAGGAGGAATTCCTGGTCCCCCAGCCTCCGTGCCCCGAGCCCCTCGGAGCCGCTCGCCCCGCGGAGCCTGGGCGGCGCGCGAGCCGCGCGCGCAGGGCGCAGCGCGTCGGGGGCCCGCCGCCGCGGCACGCTAAAAAAAGCAGCAGCTTCCGACCGCGCCCGCGCTCCAGCGGGGCCACGGCAGCTCCAGAGCCCCGAATCATCAGGGGTAACTCGGGTCAGGGATAACTCGGGTTCGTTTTTTTCGGGACTCCGAGCCCGAGTTACCCCGGACCCGAGTTACCCCGGATAACTCGGGCGTCCAGAGCCCCGAATCATCAGGGGTAACTCGGGTCAGGGCTAACTCGGGTTCCTTTTTCGGGAATCCAAACCCGAGTTACCCCGGACCCGAGATACCCCGGATAACTCGGGCATCCCGAGCCCCGAATCATCAGGGGTAACTCGGGTCAGGGCTAATTCGGGTTCGTTTTTCGGGAATCCAAACCCGAGTTACCCCGGACCCGAGATACCCCGGATAACTCGGGCGTCCAGAGCCCCGAATCATCAGGGGTAACTCGGGTCAGGGCTAACTCGGGTTCCTTTTCCGGGAATCCAAACCCGAGTTACCCCGGACCCGAGTTACCCCGGATAACTCGGGCGCCCAATAGCTCGGCCCCACCTCGGGCCGGGCGAACGGGGGGGATTGGGAACGGGGGGGGCCGTACGTAACTTGCTGCATGCGGCTGGTTTCGGCCCCACCGAGGGGCCCGTTCCTCGATGCATATGCCGCCCCCGGCGCCGGGAGGCGCCGGGAAAATCAGCTACGTGAGCTGATTCTCAAACCCCCCCTTTGCTATCCCCCCCTTTCGCCCGACACGACACCAGCTCACCCCCCTCTAGGTTTAAGTAGGGTCTGTCCCTCCAGAGGAGGAAGATTCCCCAATAGTGAAAATATAGTCTGGGGACGAAATGTTGATTATGTTTTGATTACTTTTGAGCACGACATGTTTATTATTTGTTGGTTAGTTTTGAGCACTGTTTGAGCATGTCTGATCTTACCTCCCGAAGCCGCCTTGTGGGAGGACATGCCAGACCTCACACTGGGCCATGGCGTCTCAGCCCCACCGGCTCAAACCTCCCAGGTGCGGAGCGGCCCCGCGAGGCGCGACAGAACAGGCACTTGGCATCGCTCGGACGTGTGCATTTTTTCCTCGGTGGGGACCATCGAGGAGCATCCTTGATCATGTGGCGAAAAAGCCACTCACGAAACCGAAAAAAACACAGGGAATGGACGTCCGAGCGATGGCGAGTCTTCACCTAGATCTAAGTCGGGTATGCCCCTCTACAGGAGGAGCATTCAAAAATGGTATAAACAGCGGCCTGAGGACTATTGCTTGACTATATTTTACTCTTGGGTCATGTTCTGACTATGTTTCAATTGTCTTTCAAAGTCCACCTGTAGGAGGGCATGCCCGACCTGAACCTAGAGGGGGAAGTGGGCCAGTGGGGCCAAGGCTACACCATGGGGGACAGGGATCGGTTGAACGATGTTCCAGTTAGCAACAGCCTGATTACAACTGAGGTTTCGGAGGTCTGCGCGCAGATTCCTCGGATCCGCGCTGGGATCCTCCTGGCGGCGCCTGAAGGGAGACCAGTGCCGGTCTGGTACGGTGCACGTTTACAGCCGTCGTGCTACCAGAATCCGTGGAGACGTAAGACTCGAGTGGGCCTGAGCTCGGGTTCGCCTGCGTTTTTTGAGGAGCGCGTCCTGGATTTTGACGGTCCAGTTTTCGTGGGCTGTCCGCAGCGGGAGATCGCGTCAAATTTCGGACCGGGTCTCGTCATTTTCCCGATGGCCCTGTGTCAGTCGGGGTTGGACAGACCTCCTACCCTGACACGTCGATTAGTGAATTGTCCGTGTTCGGTTCTCGAGAGGGCGCCGCGGCCGTCATTTTCCAGGCTTGCGCCCGCCAGGTTTGGGCCCGAGGTCGTTTTCACTAATAAACCACATTTCACTAAAAAGGTGGTCTGTCCATCCGCCGTGCCAGGCCAACCCGAGGCCCCCTGGAACCCGAGCCTCATAGCGTCTCCCCGACGGAAGGGAAGCGCAGAGGAAGGAGCCCGACCTTCCAGGAGGGCTGAAACATAGCACCAGGACCTCGATGTCGTGATGCCTGTCGAGGCTTTAGGCAGCCCCGCCTCCGAGGGGGCGAGGCCGTGCTGGAGGGCAGGAGGAGGAGGAGGAGGAGGAGGAGGAGGAGGAGGAGGAGGGGGGGAGGAGGAGGAGGGAGGAGAGGAGGAGGAGGAGGAGGTGGAGGAGGAGGAGGAGGTGGAGGAGGAGGAGGGGGAGGAGGGGAGGAGGAGGAGGAGGAGGAGGAGGAGGAGGAGGAGGAGGAGGGGGGCTATCTCTAGCACTCTGGACGGTCCGGGGCGCGAAGGGGGCCGGGCTCCGGCCACGGGGCGCCTCGGCTTCGAGCAGGCTCTCCCCGGCCTTTTGATTTGCCTCGGCAGCGGCCCGCGGGCCGGAGCCTCCCCGCCGGAGCCCAGGGGGGGTCCCGACTGCAGCGCCTCGGCTGAATACGTGGTCTGTCCCGCTCCAGGGAGGAGGAGGAGGAGGAGGAGGAGGAGGAGGAAGAAGACGACGACGACGACCACGACGACGACCACGACGACGACGACGACCGCGACGACGACGACGACGACCACGACGACGACGACGACGACCACCACGACGACGACGACGACGACGACGACGACGACGACGACGACGACCACGACGACCACGACCACGACCACGACCACGACGACCACGACGACGACCACGACGACGACCACGACGACGACCACGTTGACGAGGAAGAGGAGCGAAAGGAAAGGGACAACGATGAGGGCAAGGACGAGGACGAGGAGGAGCAGGAGGAGGAGGAGGAGGAGGAGGAGAAGGAGGACAACGAGGACGAGGACAGAGCCCTCAAAGCCGCATCCGGCTTGCAGGTCGCAGCCTCGTTGTGGAGGGCGCTCCACAGCACGGCCTCGCCTCCGAGGGGCCGAGGGAAGGCTTAAGGCGCCTCCTCCGGGAGATACAAACATGCTTCCAAAATGCAAAGATAGCAAAAAATAGTCCCCCAAATCGTCCCCAGACTATTGTTTGGCTATGTTTGAAGATCCCCCCGTACAGGGACAGGCCCAACTCAAGCGGAGCGCCCTCCGCCTCCGAGGGGCCGAGGGAAGCCTCGGCGGGAGCCCGGCGGAAGTGGCGGTCGAGGGCAGCCTCCGCCAGCGGAGGCCGGCGGGAGGCTGGCGGTGGGAGGCCCGAGCCGTCCTGAACCGCTCGGGTTAAGTCGGGCGTGTCCCCCTACAGGGGGATTTTCCACGAAAAATAAAAAATACCCCAAAAATAGCAAAACAATAATCCAAGAATAGTCTGGGGACTATTTTTTTAGTATTTTTTTGCCGTTTGGGAGTATTTTTGGAGTATTTATTATTTTTCATCGAAAATCCCCCTGTGCGGGGACACGCTCGACTTAACGCTCGGGCCTGCCGCCGCCCCCCTCCCGTCGGCCCCTGCGTCGAAGAGGTGAAGCTGAAGTCGGGCATGTCCCCCTGCAGGAAGAATCTCCCAGAACCGCCAAAACAGAATATGCTTGGCTGTTTAACAAAAACATGTTTCGTCCCAAATCCGCCTGCAGGGGGACATGCCCGACCTCAAGGTAAGCATAAAGTTGCGGAGCTCCGCGCGGACTTCCACGGGTTTCGGCGCTGGGGCCCCCTGGCGGCGCCTCCGGCGCCGCCCTTGGGGCGCTCCGCGCGCCAGGGAGGGTGGCCCAGCGCGGATCCGAGGACTCCGCGCGGAGATCCGAAAGTTTGTGCTTATGCCGTTTTTCTGCTCCTCTGCATACGGCAGGTTCGCGTCGCGTCGAACAGCGGCGGCCCCGCCGCCAGCGCTCAACGTTGAGCGCCGCCGGCGATGCAGAGTCGGTCGATGTTGAACAATTTTGTCGTTTCGGAAGCGGCCGATCGTTCAGGGTTGATCGGTCCCCGCAGTGTCAGCAGCCAAGGCCAGAGTTGGCACGACGCGAACCTGCCGTAACAAGACCTCCGAAGGATTGCTCCTTTGCTGCTTCGCAGCTGTCCCGGGTTCGCGGCATGTCCCAGATTTCAACGGCACCGTAACGGGTACTTACTAACGGGCACTTTGAAATGTTGCCGAAAGTTGCCACTTTAGGGTCTTTTTCTGGCATTGCAGCGTTGCCCACATCGGGAAAGGTTGGGTTCGCTGGGTCACTGGCCAAAGTACCCGTTAGTGGAGTCCCCGTTTAAGGGTCGCTGAAGATTGGTTCGGGTCAGTGCCGATCTGGGTAAGCGCGTCCCGATGCTTGTCCGGTGGCATGTCTGTTTCTTGCCCGCGTGATTCTGGACACCACACAGCAGAGGTAAGTCGTTGGTTTGGGATGGCCATGCGTTAGGAACATGATGTTGTCTCCTCCTCCTTCTCATCAGTGGTGTTCTTCTTCCAGGCTCCCGCTGCATCTTCTCGGGTCCGAGTCATCAGATCATGGGTACAATATCCAAGCCCTTGTTGCAGTAGCCATTTTGGCTCAAGTTGTCGACTCCGACACATCGGAACACATCTCGTCTGCATGCGAGTGCTTGACACATGGCTTGCTTGCAGTCAGACCAGGATACCCGGCTTGCTCCGCTTCTTCCCCGCTCGAAGTCGTGGGTGTCTGTTCCGCGCCCCTTGCGACTAAGGTCTTTTTTCTCTTTATCGAGTTCTCCGCAGGCGTCCAATTCCGAGGATGCAGATTTCTCCAACACCGTAGAGACTCCTGCGGTACGGGCTCAATGGTGGAAAGTAGTCCCGATTGATGTGCTGAAGATCGGAGGGCTCATGCTAGTCCTCCCGACGCTGACGAACGTCAAGACGCGTTTCTTCAACGGTAACACCGCAAAAGCGGCTCGCGTGCAGAGCGTCATGGACTCATCGCGCGCGGTGTTCACTATTCTGGTGACGGTGCAACTTGGCCAGCTCTCGGATGCCATTGGCAGGCGGCCATTGGTTGTCCTTAGCGTCCTCTGCACAGCAGTGCCCTTGATGTGCCTGTCATTTTCAGACAACCTGTGGTACTATTTCGTCGCGTTCGCAGCTGCTGGCGCCCTTGGTGGCCAGTCCTCGCCAGCCTCTCAGGCATACGTGGCGGACTGCTGCCCACAGAAACAGCGAGCCCGGATCTTTGGCATGCAAGGCGCTCTTACGACCATTTCGTTTATCTTTTTGCCAATTTTGGGGTCGTCGTTGGAGTATCTCAGCGGGCAAGGTGCACTGTACATCACCGCCGTCGGCATCGAGATTCTTGCCATTAGCTTCGCATGCTTTCTTCCCGAGTCGCTTCCCCAGGAGAAGCGCCGGCCTTACAGTGCAAACGGAGGACTTCGTGTTGCAATTGTGCAGCCACTGAGGAAGCTGTTTTCCCGTCGTGGCAGTGTATTGTGGGATCTCGCTGTGATCAAGTGCCTAAAGGGTATGACGATTGGCGCCCCGATATCTTTTGCAATGGCGAGCCTTCTAGACTTTGCCGATGCGGACTTCGCAGTCTTGCTCACAATCAGTGGCATCGGGCAGATGCTTGTGCAAACGGTTTTCTTGAAGTTCATACTTGCAAAGGGCTGCTCAGAGATTACATTAGTTCTCTTCAGTTTTGGAGTGGGCGTTTGCTTCTACTCGGGGATGTGTTTCTTAAGCGTGTGGCCCTGGAAGATGTCGGCATTCCTATTGACTGCGTTCGACTCCTTCACTTCAGTCTATTATCCTGCTCTCGTGTCCTTGATAACGACAGGGCAGGAAGATTTAGGATTTGTGCTTGCAGCCTTCATGGTAGTCGACGAAATCACGGCAGTAATGTCACCCTTGGTGATGGGAGGTGCGTACCAAATCTCCTTTATTGCACCTTTCATTGTGTGTGTCGCTCTGAACGCCATTTGTCTTATACTATCCGCACGCTTGCGGGCCCGCGTGATGACAAGGGAAGGCGTTGCATTGGCACCAGGAGAGATTGACAATTTTGCGGAGGATGCCAGTTAGAAACACATTAACAAACAAGCCTTTGTTCCCCTCTCGACTTCTCCGTGCATGAAGCCTCCTCTCGCACAGATCTCGCCCCTCTCGACTTCTCCACGCACGAAGCCTCCTCTCACGCAGATCTCGCCCGACCCATCGTCTGGAAGTCGAAGCCGTCCTCCTCGCCGCCGGGGTGCCGTTGCTGCGGATGTTGTTGGCTGCCCTCCTCCCTGCCTATCCGCAGCCCGCAACAAGGAGGCCTCGCCCGAGCGCCGGGCGCACGAGGAAAGCCCGGCGCCGGGAGGGAGGGAGGCACGAGAGGAGGAGGAGGAGAGGGGGGGAGGAGGGAAAGAGGAATGAAGCAGTGGCGAAGCGTCCTGGCCTTAGTGGGCCCCGGAAACGGCAGGGCCGTTTTTTCACCATTTTCCGAGAAAGTGTCCTTTGAAAATGGAAACGGCAAAAAAGACGGCGACCAGAAACGGCAAAAAAACGGCTCCAGGATTCGAACCGGAGCCGGAACCGGTCAGAAAACGGCGACGGAACCGGTAAAAAAACGGCGTCGGAACCGGCAAGAAAACGGCAAAACGGAACCGGTAAAAAAACGGCCCTGTCGTTTCCAGAGCCCACTAAGGTCTTGGCTCGCCTATAGACCTACCAAACAATGTTCTAACAACCTTTTGGGGTTTCCACGGAATGTTCTTTGAACATTTCTAGCGGATATTGTCTTGTTTTAGCACATCGGGCCTATGTTCTGAGAATATGGTGTATGTTATTAGAACATTTTTGGGTTCTAAGAAAACTTCGTGGTAGGATTATAGGAATGCCGGGATGGTCGGTCCCTGCTCGAAGGAAGAGGAGGGGAGGAGGGAGGGAAAGAGGGAAAGAGGGAGAGGATGAGGAGGAGGGGGGGAGGAGGGAGGGAGGACGACGGGGAGAAAAGGAGGAGGAGGGAGGGAGGTCGGTGGAAAGGGGGAGGGGAGGGCGGCGGAGGGAAGAGGGCAGGAGGGCGCAGCAAGCAGGGAGGAAGGGGGAGGGGGCTGTCGGGGAGGGCGGGAACGGAAAGCGGGGAGGAAGACGGACGGAGGAGGCGGGGATTGGGGCGAAGGGAGGTAGAAGTCGAAGGACAAGGAGCGGCAGAATGCAAAACCATGATGTCTCGGAGGTCCGCGCGGATTTCTTGGATCTGCGTCGGGCCCTTCGTGGCGGTTTCCGGCGCCGCCCCTGGAGGGCTAAGGTCTGGGGGAGACGCGGGCGGCTGTGGCAGATGTGATGAGGGGGGCAGCAAGGAGGAGCGAGGAGGAAGAAGGAGGCGCAGAAGGACGAGAGGAGTGAGGAGGAATGGGAGGGGCGGAGGGAGCGGGAGAGGTACTTGAGACAGGGCCATCGCGCCCCTGCAGAGCCAGTGCCGACCTGGGGGCCAGTCTGTGGGAGGGCCGTGGGACGAGCAGCAAACGGTTGTGCCGCGGCTGAGGAGGCGCACGGGGAAAGCAGCAACAGAAGCCGCAGGACGAGGGCGATGCGGGGCGGGAGGAGCGGCGGCGAGCCCGGGGGGGAAGCACCAGAGGGGGCAGGCCTTTTCGGCAGCAGGCGGCTTGGCTTCTCGGAAGCCCTCCGGCCTTCCGAGGAGCCGCCTCTGTCTTCGGGCTTGGACGCCCGAAATGGGTACGGAAAGAATGGGTACGATGCCCAACAGCAGTTCCTGTGCATTCTGAACAGGGCTCGCTGTCGGTGTCGCCGCGGCCTGTGTCCATTCGAGGCAGAAGGCCGCCCGCCCAACAGCGGCCGCTGTTGGTTTGGGACAACATTTGTTGTTGGGCATTGTGTCCATTCTTTCCGTACCCATCTCGGGCGTCCACATCGGGGAAGGCTCGGAAAATTGTTTCCAGGGAAACAAGCAATGACATCAACTTAAAAACTCGGAGGTCCGCGCGGAGTTCTCGGATCGGCGCTGGCGCGCGGAGCGCGCCAGGGGCGGCGCCGGAGGCGCCGCCAGGGGGGGTCCAGCGCGGATCCGAGAAATCCGCTCGGACCTCTGAGTTTGCATGCATATGTCATGGTTCGTTTCCTTATTATTGCAAGAACTGTTTGAAAGGCTGGAGGCCTTCCGAGCCATCTGAGACGGCCCGCCCGCTCTCCCCGGACAAGACGAGAGGAAGCGTCCTATGCGCGCAGGGGTCCTTTCTCAGCGAGCGAAGAACGGTATACGATAAACTTCTTCGCCGTCGGGGGCACCTGCCCCTGGGCGGCTGGAAAGTTTATACCCCTACGGTGCCACCGCAAGGGTATGGACTTTCCAGCCGCCCTGGGGCAGGTGTCCCCGACGGCGAAAAAGTTTACTTTATACCGTTCTTCGCCCGTTAACCTTCTGTCGTAAAAGTCCCAAAAGGTGCGCGCGGCCGAAGGGTCGCCGCGGGGGGCGGGCGGCAGGGCCACCGCGCATATGCGCGCGCTCCCCAAGCCTCCTGGGCCACCCCCCCCCTTGCCGAGCCCTCCCCCCCGTTGCGGGGGGGAGGGGGGGGGGCCGCTCAAAAGCACGGCGCGGGACTTTCAGGGGGCGTCGCCTCACCAGTATCACATTTGGAGAGGTCTCTGGCGAATCGTTCCGTTGGGCGCGTTTCTCAAGCAGCACGATCGGGCAACTGAATGGGGGGGGGCACTCAAAACTACGACCTGGGGCCGCCGGCCGGGGCCCTCGGAAACGAAGGGCGCGAGGGCGCGGGCGTCGCCGTGAGGCCGCGTCGGCGAGCCCAGCTGTTGCGTACCCAGAAGTGCGTGCAAAAGTACGCTCAAAGGGCCTATTCAATCCCATGACCTTTTCTGGTTTGCCTTATCTCACTTACCCCCAGGCTCGCCGCCGGGAGGAGGAAGAGGAGGAGGAGGAGGAGGAGGAGGAGGAGGAGGAGGAGGAGGAGGAGGAGGTGAAGGAGGAGGAGGAGGAAGAGGAGGAGGAGGAGGAGGAGGAGGAGGAGGATAAGCTTCTCTCGCCTTTTGCGCCCCTTTCTCGCTTGTGCTGAAGAGCCAGCTGGAGGCAACCGGGGGAGAAGTGGTTGGGACGATGGGGAAGCTGGCGGGAAGGATAGATGGTGGAGGAGTGGAAGCAGGAGGAGCAGTGGCATATCGGCAGCACTGGGACATTTTCATTTCCTGCAGTAGTCGCGGCAGCACCGGCGGCCCTGGGCAGCGTGCGGTGGGGACAGCAGGGTCATGGGCACCCTACGATTGGGGAACACACAGCGACATAAACATAAGAACTCGGGGGTTCTGCGCGGATTCCTCTGATCGGCGCTGGGGCCTCTGGCGGCGCCTCGGGCGCCGCCCCGAGCGCGCTCCGTGCGACAGGGTCGCAGTTTTCATGTTCGTGTCAATGGTTGGGGCCCTATGCGAGGCAGCTGCCGGCGCGAGCAGGCGCGTCCGGCCAGCCGGAGCGGCAGCCTGCAGCAAGGCTCTGCGGCAGCGTCGGCAGCGGCGGCGGCGGCGGCGGCGGCAGCAGCAGCAGCGGCGGCATCAGCAGCAGCGGCGGCGGCGGCCTTGGGGCGCGCCCCGAGGGCCACTGGAAGCGCGGTTGGCCCGCGGGCGTGTCACAGCGGGCATCTCGCGTCGGTGAGTGCTGGTCCGTGCCCTACGGCTCGGGGAGACGCTGGTGGTTGTGCTGGTGGCCGCGGTGTGGGCAGCAGACACAGCTGGCAGCAGTGGCAGCCGCAGGGGCAGCGGCAGCCATTGCGATGTCGGGAAGAGGCGGAGGGGGCTTGCACCTCAGGGCTCGAGCTCAAGGGTGTGCTGGCAGTGTCGTGGGCCGTTTTCCTTGTGGCTGCGCCTTGCCGGCAGGAGGTGGGTCGGAGGCAGGGCGAGGGACGACGACGACGCAGCGGAAGCGAAGGGCGCTGTTCAGCTCGCGCCCTGGCAGCTGGGACGTCGGGGCGAGGCGGCGGGCCCGCACCTCTGCCGCCTCCCGCAGGAGGGGAGGCTGCTCTCCGCAGAGGCCGAGGCGGGCGCGGCCGGCATGGTCGAGGCTCGGGCCGGCGCGCTGCGCAGCGCGAGGGCGGGGCCGATGGCACGCAGCTGCAAGTCAGCAGTCCACTCTGACTCAAACGACGCGAAGATCGGGACAAAATCGGATCGGGATAACTCGAAGTCTCTGAGAATCGGCGGGTTTGGAGGATGTATTGGGCGCCGCGGCCGCTCCAGAGCGTTCCGGAACGCTCTGAGAGCGCTCCGGAACGCTCTGGAGCGATTTATCCCGATCCTAGCCCTGTTTTGCTGACGGATGTACTGACACCGACACCTGCTTGGCTGCTCGTCGTCGACGTCGCCGTCGCCGTCGCCGTCGCCGTCGCCGTCGCCGTCGTTTTCGTCGTCGTTGACTTCGTCGTCGTCGTCGTCGTCGTCGTCGTCGTCGTCGTCGTTGACTTCGTCGTCGTCGTCGTCGTCGTCGTCGTCGTCGTCGTCGTCGTGCGGAGGTTGGGCGTGGTGGCCGTGTCTCTCAGGGAATCCGTCCGTCACATGCGGCTTGCCCATAGGACTCTGATGGGATATCTCCTTACGATCTTCTGTTCCTGCCTCCTCTCCATCATATATGTTTGTTATCCCCCTTCTTTATTTTCCATGACGACGCCCTGGCACATGGTGGATGAGCGATAGTTGAGTCTAGACTCTGTGATTTGATTGCTCATGCCAATCCGCCCACCGCCAGCCCATTAGATCAGACCCCGCTAGTTAGCCTCATGGCGTGTCGAATGAGTCTTTCCCACACCCTGTATCGCATTGATTCCTCAGCGGCCACCGTCAAGCATCGACGTAAAAAGCTGTCACAACTTAAACAACCAAGGCGTACTCGATTCCAAATGGGAGCACGGGGGCTCCAAACGTATGGATGTGTAACGCCACCAACGGTAGGTTTTAGAGCAGCCAGCGGCGGGACGTGGGAGGCTTAGAGCCTGTCATAGGGTATGTTCTGAGCGGGCCCAATTTCCCCCAGGTGGACCCGGTCCCAGGGATGAGGAGGAGGAGGAGGAGGAGGAGGAGGAGGAGGAGGAGGAGGAGGAGGAGAAGCAGCAGTACCAGCAGGAGGCAGGGGTGATAGGTAAGGGTGCGGGACACGAGGAAGAAAAGTGGAGGAGGAGGAGGAGGAGTAGGAGGAGGAGGAGTGGGAGGAGGAAGGAGGAGGAGGAGGAGGAGGAGGAGGAGGAGGAGTTAGGAGGAGGAAGAGGAGGATGAGTGAGGATGAGGAGGTGAGGAGGGAGGAGGAGGAGGGAGGAGGAGGACGGGAGAGGGGACGGTGAGAGGAGGACGGGAGAGGAGGCTGGAGGAAAGGTGGGAGGGAAGTGGAGGAGAGGGATTGGAGGAGGATGGGGCGGATGAGGATGAAGGGGCTGGAATGATGAGGCGGGGGGGAAGCGGAAAGATGGGGATCACCCAGGCTCTGGCTCCGCCGGGCGATCTGAGTGTCTCGTCGTCCTCCACGTCGCCCTCCCCCCCCTTGGTCCTCGTCGTGCTCGACCTCACAGCTCCCTGTCCTCCTCGCCCTCCTCGCCTGGGGCGCAGGCGGGCGGCCCGAGAACGATTTGAGGGATCCCGTTAGGTGGGAAAGAGAAGGGAGAGGAGGAGGAGGAGGAGGAGGAGGAGGAGGAGGAGGAGGAGGAGGAGGAGGAGGAGGTAGGGGGAGGAGGAGGGGAGGAGGGGCAGGTAGGATGAACAGGAGGAGGAGGAGGAGGAGGAGGTGGAGGGGAGGAGGAGGAACATGAGGAACAGGAGGAGGAGGAGGAGGAGGAGGAACAGGAGGAGGAGGGGAGGGGGGGGAAGGGGAGGGGTGCGACATCTGCTGCCAGTGCAGCTGGTCTCGGACCCCGCCGCCGGGCGCCTTCCTCGATGCACCGGCGCGCCTCGGGCGCGCCGGGCGCAGCAGCCATGTGGGCTGGTTCGCTCACCCCGTGCGTGCGGCCCGAGCCCGGTGCTGTCAGGCGGAGAGCAGACACACACACACACACAGAGACACACCAGGAGGCCACGGCTCCCAGGAGAGTGTGGGGGAGAACACGTGGGAAGTGGGGGGGGGAGGACGGGAGGCCAGAGAGTGCCTGAGGAAGATCTGGGGGCCGATGGGATCTGCGCCTACTTCTATTTGTGTGTCACTGGGCCCCTGCGTGCCCGCACTTGCCCTTCGCCGCCGTGTGCTCCCCCACCAGAGGCAGGGCGGGGGTGCCCGCTCTGCGGCTTCGGCTCCGCCGCCGCCGCCGTCGGTCGCGTGTGCGCCGGTGGTCCGGCTCGGTCGGTTGTCGCGCCGCTGCCGCGCCGCTGCGCTTGCGTCGGGCCTGTCCCTCTACAGGGGGAATCTTCAAAGATAATAGTAGAAAACTAGTCTGGGGACGATGTTCGCAGCTTTTAGCATTATTGTTGAGCACTCGTTTTGGCTATGTTTCAACTGTCGGGGCTAACATCCGCCCGTAGGAGGCGGTTGGTGGTCGGTCGTGCTGCCGCCTTGGACGGCCCTGCAAGAGAAGAGCGGCCTCCCCTGCAAGAGAAGGCCCTGGTGCGCGAGCTGCCAGACCCTCGGCTGCACGAGGTGCCGCGGCGGCTCCGTTTCTTTTTCCTTGCGGGAGGAGGAGGAGGTGGAGGAGGAGAAGGAGGAGGAGGAGGAATCGAGGAGGAGGAGGAGCTCTCGAGGCTCCCATCTTTGGCGGAGGGAGGGGATGAGGGCAAGCTTGCCTCACCCGCGCGTTGGCCATGCCACCATCTGACCCCAGGCAGTCGAAGGGAGGGGCAGCGGGGTTAGCTCGAGCAGGGCCAGGACGAGGATAAACCCGATGCCAGAGCGTTCCGCAACGCTCTCAGAGCGTTCTGGAACGCACTGAGAAGGCCGCGGCACCCGGGATATTCTCCAGAGCCGCCAGACTTCAGAGATTCTCGATTTATCTTCCCCCGATGTTATCCTCGCCCTGGCTTCGTCTTGCCAGGGAAGGGCAGGGGAGGGAGAGGGGGCACGACCGCAGGCGATCTCTGGGAGAGGACGGGGGGCGGAAGGGGAGGGGAGGCACGCGGTTTTGGCCTTCTGCCATGGAGATGATGCGACCAGAGGTGGGCAATCAGCCGCAGGGGATCGTTGGGTGGTCCACTGTCTGAGTGGCCTGGCCGGGGGGTGGGGGCGTAGGGGCTGCCAGCCGGGACTTGCGACCGCCCGAAGCGCGCGAAGGAAGGACGGAAGGAAGGAAGGAAGGGAGGAAGGAAGGAAGGAAAGAAGGGGAGTAATTAAGGGAGGCGGGAGAGGAGGGGGAGGGTTGTGCTGGGTTATGCTACTTAGGTGTGGATCCTGACGGAAGGCACAGGGCTCGACTCCTCGCTCGCCTTGCAAGCCGTACTCACATAGGCGCTCCTGGTGAATGGCCGCACTCCCATAGAGAATCAGTCTACCCTTGGCCCTTCTCGTTCGGGATGGTGGATACCTCCTTCACAATTCGTGAGGAGGGGGAGGAGGGTAAGCCGGGGGAGGGATTGACATCATTTGCCCCCAGCGATTACACCTGGACTGCCAATTAGCTTTGCCTGAACTTGGTCGGACATTCCTTGAACAACAGCTATGTCCAGGGTCGATCGCGCCTGCCGGCCAAAGAGCGGGCGCTGCAGGCTTCTTCCCGTTCGGATTGGTAGAGCGTATGGCATCGGGGCACGTATGGATTTGGATTTGCTCGTGGCGTGTTGCACGTCTTGTTTTTGTGGCCCCCTCATGGCATTCGTGCCTTTGCAGCGGCTTTGGCCTCGCCCGGCTTGTCGCCTCTCGCCCTACGCTCGCGGTGGGCAAAGCGGCGTGGCCGCCTGGAGCATTCCTCACCAGGCACCGAACCGAAACGTGTATGTGTGTGCGTGTGTGTGTACGTGTGTGCAAATGTGCGCGCGTGTGTGTCTGCGTGTGTATGTGCGTCGAGCACCCAGAAAAATAACGAAACAGTGTCGAACGAGTATCGCCTCCCAGGGCCCGACACGTGAAAACCCCCCAGTTTCGGCATTTCCTTGGTGCTCGAAGTTCTTTCTGGTGAACAAGGCCAAAGTCTGTTAGAAAATCATAAGCCCAGCTTTCGCGAAAAAGGCCGCCGAAGACTGCCTGAAACTGCAGAGGGGCCGCCGACGGCCGTCAGAAGGCCGCCGAAAGCCGCCGGTGGCACGACGTGTGTAGGTAAGAGGTGGTCCGTGGCCGACCGTGCAGGAAACCCCCTACAGGGGGAAAGTTCAAAGATAGTAAAAAATAGTCAGGGGACGATTTTTCTTGTATTTTTGCCAATTTTGGGGTGCATTTGTTTGTTGAGTATTTTTTATGTTTCTGCCAAAATGCGCCTTTAGGGGGACACGCCCGACATAAATGAACAGCGGTTGGGGCGACTCAGTAGGTCGACGGGGGCCGGCTCCGGGCAAGCTCCTGGCCAGCCACCTGGCAGGTGCGTTTCTTTTTATTTAGGGGGATTCGGGCCAGGCCGACCAGGCCCGGAGCGCGCGATGAGACCCGCAAGCACGCCAAGAGATTTCGGGGTTTCCCAGAGGTGGTTTGGCCCAAGGCGGCCCCAGCTCTTCGAGCGAGGTCTTCATGGCATCCAGATCACCCGTCCAGCATGAACCCCGGAGGGTCCTGAGGGCTCCAAAATGGTGCGGGAAGCTTAGGACACCGTGTGCCAGGACCACTCCAGGGACCTCTGGCAGCGTCCGATCGGAAGCCGGGCAAGGGCTGCTAAATCCGTGGCTGCCAAAATCAACCTCTGGGGGGTTGTCTTCGTCCTTGCGGGAAGAAGCCCGTTGACTGTTTCGCGTGCCGCGCCTCATTCTGGGAAGTTGTTTTTTCCTTCCGGGAGGGCCGTTTTAGCAGCCACGGTTTCAGCAGCCCTCGCCCAGCTTCCGATCCGAGGTCGCGGGGAGCGGCGCGATGCGCAGAGCAGTATTACCAGTCTCGAACGTATCCCAATCTTTAGGGATTCGCCTTTCAAAAGATAAGGGAATCCATAAGATTGGCATCGTGATGAGGAGGTGCCCAGCATAGGGATAGGGATATGTTTCAGGCTGGTAACACGAGGGGCGCACCCTCCTGGCGAGGTGCTGATGGAGCTGCTGTGGCGGGGCCTTCGCCGAGCGGGCGGCACTGACGCAGCTGCGGCGCCGGGGCTGGTGGCGCTGGCCCCGCCCTCGGCACAAACAGCCCCGTGTCTACCCCCCCGCCTCCTCCTCGTCCTCCTCCTCCTCCAACACCCCCCCTCCTCCTCCTCCTCCTCCTCCTCCTCCACCTCCTCCTCCTCCAACAAACAGCCAGGTGTCTACCCCCCCTCCTCCTCCGCCTCCTCCTCGTCCTCCTCCTCCACCGCCTGTTCCTTTGTGGCGATCTTGGCTGAGGATGGCGGCGGGTCAGGGAAGCGTCCAGTCCAGGAGACTGTCAGGGACGCGCGGCCAGATCGGGTCGCGGGCAAACGGCAAAAATGTCAGGAAGCGCTTCTCGCCCTCTGTCGCCGGCCCCCTCTATATGTCGGGGTGATGCTGAGACTCGTCGGCGCTGTTCTGACAATCTCTGAGGCCACTGGCATTCAGCAAGCACCTTCAGATGTTGGAGTCAATGTGGAAAGCTTTGTCTCTTTATTTCTCAGGGCGCGACACTCGCGTACTTGGTGCTCGGGATCGTGCCCTCGGGAGCGCGAGTCTGGCGTCGTGTACGGGGGATCGTGCCCTCGGGAGCGCGAACCGGGTGCAATTTGCAGACAGGATTCTGGCTTCGGGGACGCCGGTTTGGTTTTTGGTCTACATGGGAATTCTGGCTTCGGGAGCGCGATCCTCATGCAGTGTGCACAGGGATATTCTGGATCCGTGGAGCCGTGGGCCCCCGGGAGCGCGCACCTGGTGTGGATGCTGGCCTCGGGAGCGCGGCGAAGCCGGTGCAGCTTACAGAGGATTCCGGCATCGAGAGAGCGAGAAGGTTCGTGGAATTCATACGGGATTCCCAGACATCGGGCGTCTCGGAAAAATCGACGGGGCTTTTTCATAGTTTTTGCCCTTTCGGGGCCCTCGCCGGGCCTCTGGACCGTCAAAAAACGACTCGGGATGAAAAACCGGTCCCAGGGAAGTGGTCGGGAGGTCAGGGGCCCGCGTCTCGAAAAAATCGAGACGTCGGATGTCTGGGTTCTGGGGGCGCGACGAGCCAAGCGTAACTTGCAAGGGATTGTGGCCGCGGCGGCGCGAAGCTAGTGTAGTGTTCAAGGGGCTCGGGTTTCGGGAGCGCGAATCTGGCGTCACTTGCGAGGGAGATGGCCCTGGGGACGCGAGACAGAACAGTCGAGCTTGAGTAACTAGTAGGTCGACCCTGCCAGATCACGGGCACCCTTGTGTCCTGTGTTTCACGACCCGTGATTTCTACATTCTTGTGGAAATGTGGCCTTCGGAAAGATCTCGTGTCCTCTCGCGTGCCCGACTGTAAATATTTGTATGTGCCCCGGGCCCCCCGGGAATTCTGAGAACCCCAGGGTGGAGGAGGAGGAGGAGGAGGAGGAGGAGGAGGAGGAGGAGGAGGAGGAGCGGGGGAGGACGAATGTCTGAGAGGAGGAGGAGAGTAGGGGAGGAGGAGGAAGAGGATTGAGGAGACTGCGGAGGAGGAGGAGGAGGAGGAGGAGTTGTGGTGGTCAAAAAGGCTGGCTCGGAGCTCCCCCCTCTCTCGAAATGGCCACACTCCGAGCGGAGGCGGCTCTCCGGACCAGAAGAGGTGCAGGTTTTCCTCGGGCGGGTGCTGATGGGGACTTCCCCGGGTGAAGGAAAATGGGCCCTTTTTGGGGCCCTTTCTCTCTCACCCCCTAAGTGGGGGTCGCGCCCGCCCGATTTCCCCTGGTAGCGACACGGTGGCCGCGTCTGCTCGGGAAGCGCTGCCGGTGGAGGAGCAGAGCCGCGCCACCGTGTCGCTACCAGTGAGGAGGAGGAGGAGGAGGGAGGAGAGGAGGAAGGGGAGGAGGAGAGGCGGAGGCGGAGGCGGAGGCGGAGGCGGAGCGGAGGGTGAGGAGGAGGAGGAGGGGAGGAGGATGAAGGAGGAGGAAGAATAGGAGGAGTAGGGGATGAGGGAGGGTTAGGAAGGAGGAGGGGGAGGGGGAGGAGGGGAGGGGGAGTAGGGGGAGGAGGGGGGAGGGAAGGGGGAGGAGGTGGAGGGAGGGGGAGGAGGGGGGAGGGAGGAGGAGGAGGAGGATTGGGGGGGTAGGAGGAATGGAGGAGGAGCAGCGTAGAGTGATGAGGGTAGGAGGAGGTGCGGAGGCGGAGGGATGCGGAGGCCCGGAGGCGTAGGAGAGGAGGAGGAGGTGAGGAGGGAGAAAGGGAGGGAGGGAGGGAGAGAAGGAGGGAAAAGCGGGGGAGGAGGAGGAGAGTGGGGGAGAGGGAGGGGAGGAGGGAGGAGAGGGGGAGGGGGAGGAGGGGGAGGGGGAGGAGGGGGGGGAGGAGGGGGGGGAAAAGGAGGGGGAGGAGGGGGGGGGGGGGGGGAGAGGAGGGGGAGGTGGAAGGTAGAGGAGGCTGAGGAGGTGGGGTAGGAGGGGGAGGAGGACGAGGAGGAGGAGTGAGGAGGAGGAGAGGAGGAGGAGGGCGGAGGGGAGTGGCGGAGGCGGGAGGCGGAAAAGGGAGGGCGCGCGGAGGCGGAGGAGTGAGGAGGAGGATGAAGAGAGGAGGAGGAGGAGGAGGAGGAGGAGGAAGGAGAGAGGAGGAGGGAGGTAGTAGGAGGGGGAAAGAAATGGGGGGAGGAGGACGGATGGGGAGGAGGGGAGGAGGGGGGATGGGGGGGAAAGGAGAGGGGAGGAGGGGGAGGAGGAAGGAAAAGTAAAGGGGGAGGAGGGCGGAGGATGGGGGGGGAGGGTGGAGAGGAGGAGAGGAGGAGGAGGTGGTTGGGGTAGGAGGAGGGACGATGCAGAGGGGCCGCGAGAGGAGGAGGAGGAGGAGGAGGAGGAGGTGAGGAAGCGCTGCCTGCCCCCTGTTGCACCTCCGCGCGCCTTCGGACGCGGACGCCCTGGGCGAGCCGCCGCCGCCCCTCTGCCCCGCATGCGGACTGGGCAGGGCGCGGCGGGCCCGTGGTCTGCACCACGGGGTGCGGCCCCGGAGAGTGCGCTGCTCTGCCTCGGCCCCTGCGGGGAGGCCCTCGCGGGGGCTCTCCCCGGGCCCTCCTCGGGGCCCGTCTCGGGCCCTCTCCCCGCCGTCTCCTGGGCATCCGGGGCCCGTGTTTGAATCGGGACCCGGTCCCTTCCGTGTTGGAATCATCATCGTCATCATTAGCATTATCATTAGCATCATCATTAGCATCATCATCATCATCATCATCATCATCATCATCATCATCATCATCAGCATCAGCATCATCATCATTATCATCATCATCTTCATCATCATCATCGTCATCATCATCGTCATCATCATCATCATCATAATCATCATCATCATCATCAGCATTATCATTAGCATCATCATTAGCATCATCATTAGCATCATCATCATCATCATCATCATCATCATCATCATCTTCATCATCATCATCATCATCGTCATCATCATCGTCATCATCATCATCATCATCATCGTCATCGTCATCGTCATCGTCATCGTCATCGTCATCGTCATCGTCATCGTCATCATCGTCATCGTCATCGTCGTCATCGTCATCGTCATCGTCATCGTCAGCAGCAGCATCGTCATCATTATTCCCGCAGGACCCGCTCCCTCCGTGCTGGAGCTCCCGTGGTCTGTGCGCGCGCGCTTCCAGAGCCTGCGCGCCAGTGTTCCGCGCCGCTGGCGCTGGCCCAGGCAATGCCTCGCCTCGGCCCTGCTGGCCGCTGGCGCCGCGCCGCGCGGGGGCCTCCCGACGCCTGCCTCGCCTGGCCCACACCGGCCAGCTGCGGGGGAGGCCGACGATGAGAGCGGCAGCGCGCCGCCGATCGGCGGCGAACGGGTGTAGGGGGAAGCGCTGAGGAGAAGACCTTCTCAGAAGGCTCGGAAGCCCCCCAGCCTTCTGGGAAGTTCTGCGAAGCCTCCCCCGGAGACAAGCAGATAGCTTCTCGGAAGGCGCGAGAGCCCCTGCGAACGAAGCCCGGCCGCCTTCTGGGAAGGCCTTCGCCTCCTCATGATGATTTCCCCCCCCCCTCGCTCGCCGCCGAACCGCGGGGGAGTCGGCCGGAACGGGCCCCGCTCGATGCACCGGGGCCTGGGCCTGCAGGAGGCGGTCGCCGCTGCACTCGGCCGCTGCAGTGGCCAGCCCCAGCCTGCCACTGACTTGGCTTGGAGGCGAGGCCCGCAGAGCGGGACCGCTCCAAGCGCTGGCACCCCGAGGAGGGCCAAGGGCCAGCAAGCATCAGCCGCGGGCTCGGCGACCCGAGGAGCCTCCTCCTCCTCCTCCTCCTCCTCCTCCTCCTCCTCCTCAGAGCTGGCATCCCCAAGGCGCGGCGCCGTGCCAGCCGGAGGAAGCCACACCGCGCAGGAGAGAGGGGGCCACCCCGCAGGCGGGGGGCCCGACGCAGAGAGCAAGGCGCCGGGGGCTCCCAGGCAGGCTCCTGTCTCGGGGTGCCCCTCTGGTCCGTGGCCTGCTTGATCGCAGCTTTCTGGGCCGCTCTCACCGGTGGCCTCCTCAGGCTGGCCCGAGCACTCCTCTCTGATCGGGTATGGCCAGGACCCCAGGTAAGGGGACCCGGTTAGTGGTAGGGCCCCGGAGCCTTCGAAAATTGGCCAGCATCACTGAACCAGGTTGGCCATAGCTGGTGTTTTTTCGGGTGACGGCGGTTCCGGTTCGTGGGAATGGGACGGGGGGCGCTCCCCCGGTACAGATCACGAGACCAGGTTCCACTCAACCCAGTTCTACCAACGCCCGATCTGAGGCCGCGCACTCTGCCACCGCTGATGCAAACCTCAGCGCACATCTTGCAGATCGTGATCGGGCCGAAGGCCATGCACGCATGCCCACATCCGCGAAGCTGTCTGATCGCCCCTGGCACGGACGGCCGGCTACCGTTCTTCAACTCCGACCGCTGTGCATTGACGGGCACAAGCTCGGGGTGATCCCGAACACCGCCGTCGGGTCGCACCTCCTGAAGTTCCCATTGGCTCTCTCACGCTACGGAGGGCATGATGTGCCCGCGCCACTGCACTGGAGTTCCTACACCTCTAGCATCTCGGGGCTTCGGGATCGGTGCCGCACCAGAACTAGTTGTACTCCAGTTCTGCTGCAAGGGTCTTTGCCACACTCGGCTTGGACGATTGAGACTGCTCTGGCTTCTGGGCTCACTCCGCGTGTATTTGAGCCATATGCCTCAACATCGCAACCGCATCGACCGCATTCTAGCACTGGACCCGACAACTGCGCAAGACGTTGTCGGCAATCGTGACGTCCTCGCGGCCAAGCCCCGTGATGGAATCCACCCATTGACTGCCAATCCAGTCGACCAAATCCCAACCACTTCCCACTGCTTGGTCGTACGCGAGATGCGATCCTCTGGGCGATGAAGGGGATGATAATGTTGATGACGATGAGAAGAAAGAGGATGATTATGATGATGATGATGATGATGATGATGATGATGATGATGATGATGATGATGATGATGATGATGATGATGATGGTGATGGTGATGGTGATGGTGATGGTGATGGTGATGGTGATGGTGATGGTGATGGTGATGGTGATGGTGATGGTGATGGTGATGGTGATGGTGATGGTGATGATGAGGAGGAGGAGGAGGAGGAGGAGTAGGAAGCGGAGAAGGAGGAGGAGGAGCAGGAAGATAAGTAGGAGGAGGAGGAGCAGGAAGATAAGGAGGAGGATGAGGAGGAGGAGGAGGAGTAAAGGGAGTGGTAGAAGGTAGAACAGGCACAGGAGGATCAGGAAGAACACGAGGGGGCCGCTGAGGAGGGGGGCAGACAAGATGGAGGAGAAAGATGATTCGGTACCTGTGACAACGGGGACGAGAAGGACGAGGGTGCGCCTGTTCGGCCTGCGCATCGCCGCACTGCCGCGAGGAGAGCGAGCTGGGCGCTCCCGTGATCGCGCGACTGCGCGGCCTGTCGGCCGAGGACGCCTGCAGATGCGCCGCTCGGGAGGGGGCTCTGTGTTTTGCCACCGTCGGCTCGAAGAAGCTCCTCGGGAAGAAAGCGGAGCATCAATGACACGCCGCAGGTGGGAGTCCGTCAGCGTGCCACGCGCTCCTTCTTTCCTCTCCGGAGGCGTGGTGCTCCTGCTCCAGTGTCACGCTGATGGGTTCCCCACGGCGCCGTGTCACTGAAACTGTGCTTGCCCCCCCGAGCTCCATGCACCTCGCATGGCGAGAACTGGGGGATGCGCTCCGCGGCCCAGGTGGCGCGCGGTGGCACGGTGATAACCAGAACGTCGGGGGGCACCCCTGGGGCCAGGGCCACGCCTGGCAATCTGCGGACGCAACTCCTCCCAGGGATCGGCTACAGGATTCATCTCCAGGACCCACCCCTGCGACGCGGAGGCTCTTGGGCTCCTCGGTGGCCGCTGTTTCGTTGCCTGCCGGGGGAGGGCGTGCGTCGGGGGGCAGCGAAGGGAGCGCGGGAGCGGTGGCAGAGGGAGCCGGTGCGAGGGCGAGGGAGGGAGGCAGGGAGAGAGACCAACGAGCTCCTCCTCCCTGGCCCATCCTCCCTGCTCGCCCCTCCTTCTCATCTTTGCTCTATTCCTCCTCATCCTCATTATTCTCCTCCTCATCCTCCTTCTCTTCCTCCTCCTCCTCCTTCGCCTCCTCCATCTCTTCCTCCTCCTCCGCCTCCTCCTATTCTTCCTCCTCCTCCTCCTCCTCCTATTCCTCCTCCTCCTCCTCCTCCTCCTCCTCCTCGCTCTCCCGAGCGCGCCCTCCTCCGCGCGCGCTCCCCAGCGCGCGGAGGGGGAGAATGGCGACGCGTTGGAGGTTCGCGTGTGTGCGTGTGTTGTGTGCGTGTGTGTGTGTGTGTGTGTTTACGTGTGTGCGCGTGTGTGTGCGTGTGTGTGTGTGCGTGTGTGTGTGTGTGTGTGTGCGTGTGTGCGTGTGTGTGTGCGTGTTTGTGTGTGTGCGTGTGTGTGTGTGTGCGTGTGTGCGTGTGTGCGTGTGTGCGTGTGTTTTTTGTGCGTGCGTGTTTGTGTGTGCGTGTTTGCGTGTGCGTGTGTGTTGCAGGCCTAGCGTTCGGGTCCTGCGCGCGGGCGCCCCCTCCGAGGAGCTGCTCGAGTGGGGCGCGGAGCTGGCCCTGGAGATCAACAGGCGTCCCCCGATCCCTGGTCCGTCTCGAGTCGGGGTAGGTTCGGGCCGAGGAGGGGGGGGGGATGAGGAGGAGGAAACGGAGGAGCTGGAGCTGGAGGGGAAACAGGAGCAGACGCCCCCCTTCCCGTCCTTGCTCGCTCCCTTCTCCCCGCCCTCTCTGCTATCGTTATGCGGTGTATGTCGTTGAGGTTCGGTTTGGCTGCATGCAATGGATGCCTCCTTTCGTTGGCTGTGTTTGAAGTGTGATTTTGATACATTATCGTGCTGCATGATTCGGTGTATGGTTATGAAATGTGGTAATTGTGTGTGTGTTACTGGTGTCGTTGATGTTGTTGCCTGTTGCGTATTATTTGTGTATGTGTCCAGTGTCTGATTTGGATGTACGCTTTCGATTTCTGTGTTGAGCGCATGCTCTGAATGGCGGGCTCGGTGACTGTGTTCGATGTTATCTTTGTTGTATGTCACCGGTGATTGCTGGTCGTGTCTGGCCTTGTCGTGTTGCGCGGGTGTACGTCATGGATGCCTGCACTTGATTTGTGGTAGTGGTGCCCTTATTTGATGCATGCTCTTGAAGTTATGAATTTGATGCAAATCATGCGTGTAGGTCATTGTTGTATGCTGCCGGTGTGCTGTATTGATGCACGTAGTTAGTGTTTTTTGTCGGCAGCACCTCATCGATGTATGCTGTTGGAATCTGTCTCTTGTGTACGATCTTGGTCGATGTACTTGATGCCGCGTGGCCGCCTCGTGGCCGCCTCGTGTGCTGGGTGGGTCTGGCAAGGTTTGGCCACGTTACTGCTAGTTATCGCCTCGCGGCCGCCTCGTGCGCTGGTTGGGTCCAGCGAGGTTTTGCAACATTGCCGCCTCGTGGCCGCCTCGTGCGCTGTTTGGGTTTGGCGAGGTTTCGCGCCACGTTGCCGCCCGTGGCCGCCTCCTGGCCGCCTCGTGCGCTGGTTGGGTCCAGCGAGGTCTCGCAACGTAGCCGCCTCGCGGCCGCCTTGTGCGCTGGGCAGGTCCGGCGAGGTTTCGCCACGTTACCTCCCGTGGCCTCCCCGTGCGTACCTTACATAGCTTGCACCACATTGAATGAACCACATAGCCCACACCGCGTAGCTCATACCATATAGTCTGCACTAAACAACTTACACCGCACAGCTCTCATTTCTCAAGTCGCGCTGCATAGATTGGACCACCTGGCTTGCACCACTTAGCTCACACTACGCAGTTGCACTGAAGAGCTTGCACCATGCAGGCTGCACCAGACAGCTTACGCCACCTAGCTCACACCACACCCTAGCAAACACCACATAGCTTACACAGCACAGATCGCACTGCGTAGCTCACACCTCACAGAATCTCCTTTCTCAGAAAGGTAGAGACTCGAACATTCCCCCCAGAGATTGTCGACAGCCCCTGGGACATTGTAGATTGCATATAAGGATGCCTCGCTTTTCATTTTCTTTCTGAAATCATACCATCCCAGGCAGTCCGTTTATCGTCCCCCCTCGACCGTGTAGACACATACCATGCGGCCACACTCGTGTATCGCAGAATGCCGTTTTTATCAAGAGCCCTTTCAAACACATGCACAAAGTCAATACATGCGCGCACATTTCGAACTCGTACCAAACGCATTAGTTTTGCGAAGCGTTCCTCATAAACACAAGAAATATGCGAGCATGACCGCGAGAACTGGCTCTTTTTCCGGGTGAGCATATAAAGCAAGCCCTTAGGTTTTTCAACACCTCTCTTGCCATTTTTTTTGCAGGCGCAAATTTGTTGAAACCATGGGCATCCGCGTTGGGCAAGCATGCGCCCAGGGCGCGAATCCGAATCCACAGAATGCCATGCGGGCAGCACGCGCGCGCCGCCACGCGAGCGTGTCGAAACCCTTCCTTCATCATTGGCTCCCGAAGCTCTTCAAAATATATGTGTTCCATAACGCTTGGAAAACGACAAGGGGTTTCACACACACACACATACATTCTGCCAGGGTTTTTGGATGTCCGGGCGAGCTCGCACGTCCCAGCCCTCACCCTCAGCAGCGCCGCGGCATCACGTCATCGTCATCGGCAATCGCCGCAATTGCGCACTCATTGCTCAAGCAATTTTGTCAGTGACACATGTGCATCATCATTGCCATCGGCGTTACCAGCATCGGCGCCGTCATTGGCCTTGCCGTCGGCATCGTCATCCTCGTCACCACCATCGCTACTATCATCACCGCTGCCGCTGTTGCCTAAGTCATCATGATACCGCGCCGCCCGAAAAGTGCCCGCGTACCAGTGCGGCCTTTGACACGCGCTGGGACGTTGCCATCAGTAAGCGCCATTGCGGCCGCATCGCTTGCGCTCTGTGCGCGAGCTTGCGCCCGTTGGCGCGGCCGCAGAGAAGCGCCAGCCATAGCCGATCAATCATCGCAATCGCCGCCGCATGGGTTTTGTAAACCAAGCTCCAGGTGGGAGTGTGGAATGATTCCGCGAGCAGTGGAGTGACCAATTCAAGAGTTGGCAGCAATTGGCAGCACCACACCGATTGCACCACATCGCTTACACCGCGCAGCTCGCACAACACGGGCCATACCTCATCTTTCACACTGCACAGCCTGCACATCCACAGAATGCAGAATTTCATGTTTTTGGGGTCCACGCTGGCAAACATTGTTGTTTTCTGTTCGGTTCGTGCACACTGGTAGTGTCTGTCCTTGCTCACTGAGGTGTTGATGCTCTGGCGTCGGTTCGTCATCGCCCCCCCCCACCCGGCGATTTTAAGATTTCCCAGAAAGCCGTATATGGTTTGACTGAGAAGGTGTGGCACTTCCGCGCGGAACCATCTCCTCGTCCGCCTCTTCATCATCACCAAGTCCCTCATCCTCCTCCTCCTCCTCCTCACGAGGAGTGAGAGGAGCATGAGGAGGAGGAGCGGAGGACGAGGAGGAGGAGGAGGAGGAGGAGGAGGGGCAGGAGGAGGAGGGGGAGGAGGAGAATGGCAAGCTGGAGGATGACGCCGGAAAACCAAATGAACACAAGGAACAGCACACAATATCCAAAGAAACGGTAGTTTTGGCAACAGAAACTTGCCAGGAAAAACAAGTGGTTCGGCAAGTTCTACTACAACGTGTAGAGTTCTCACAACATAGTATTCTAGTACAGTGTATTCCCCGTAGCATCATTCAGATCATCTGATAATTCCTCGCCAGAGCCACAAGTAAATAGAGCCCCAGTGATTGTTCCCACTGCAGGAAGCAGCACAGCTTCCACCACAGCTCTTACGACTTTCCTGTTTTACAGCCTCTAAAGCAGGCCGTCTTACAGCCCCTTTCTAGTCAGCGGTACAATCCCCTCGCAACTCCTCATTCTACAGTTCTCCCTACAGCTCCGACCAGGATTCATGCAGCAGCTCTGCGCGCATGTCCTTCAACAGTTCCTACTACAGCCACGCGCGTAGCTCTCGCTACAATTCTTGGTTCTTGTCCTACTCTAGTTGATGGCGCCTATCCTATTACAGATGCATCTCTTCTTGTACTTCCCAGTGCAGCCAGTAGCACAGCTTACACGGATGTTCTGGCCGAAGTGTGTGTTTCCATGTCCAATTGCCAACAGTCGTACACATCCCGATGCAATTCTCAAGACATTGTCCATTACGGGTCTTACTAAAGTTCGCAGTGCAGGTCTTCTTGCAACGCCTCCTAGAGCGTTCACGACAGGCCCTCCTGCAACGCATGCTGCATATCGAAATACAGTTGTTACAAGCCCTTTGCGCAGCCGCTGATACAGCTCCCCTTACACTCTATACTACAACCAGTCCCAGTCGTGCAGCTCTTACTGCAGTTCTCATTTCAAGAGGCTTACGCCATTCCGCAGACCCCCAGAAGAGGCGGGAATCCCGGGGAGTTGACGGTTGAGGCGTCGTGGATTTTTGGGGCACTATTTGGGGATTCGTGTGGGCGTCTTGAGAGTTGTTTGGGGGCCTGGTGGAGCCTCTTAGAGGCAGTTTTGAAGCGTCTTGAGGTGCCATTTGGGGGCCTCTTTTGGGTGCCTTTTTGGGGCCTCTTGGGGCTTATTGGGGGCTCTTTTTGGGCGGCGTGGGGCCTTCTTGGGGGTTTGGGGGGCCCGTTGGGGCGGACAAGTAGGATATTCGGTCCGTGTTTTCCCTCTTGGCCTTTTCTGGTGCCTTTGTGTGGCGACCTTTGGCCGTCTTGGGCCCCTCTTCGAGTAGCTTTGGAACCTTCTTGGGCCGCCTGGGGCCCTCGTAGAGGCCTCTTGGGCTGTCTACGAAGCCTTTTGGGCCGTCTTGGAGCGTCGGAGGTCGCCCCGAGGCGGGCATGATAGAGGGACGATGCTGGTGAAAGAGAGGGGGAGGCGGCCCATGAGAAGGAAGCGACAGTGACGGTGGATGGTGAAGAGGAGCCTGAGGAGAGGACGCAATTCTGCAGGCGTAGAAGCAGCAATGCATGGGCAAGAGCCCCGCGAGACTCCGGTTTCCCAGGGTACGCTCGCGGTCACTGCATGGAATCATCCCTCTGTGATTTTGTCCGAGATGCTTGACGTGAAAGTTCCAATGGGAACATTTGGAAGTTGTGCATTCGGGGCATTTGTCACTTAGCTCGTTTGACGGCAGAGAAGATGGTGTGGCTAGCCACAGACATGTCCAGAACTCACCCAGGCCCCCACCCTTCACCCTCCGCGTGCATCTCGCATACATCCTCCTACTCTTGGGGCCTCCGCTGCGCAGGCACCGGAACACGGTGGTGGAGTTGCGGCCCTGCCGCTTGGGTTGGGGCAGCCTCGAGACGAGCGAGGCTTCGGCCAGGCCTGTGGGGAGCAGAAGCCTCGACCAGACCAGACCCAGCGCTCGCGTCCCATTCTCGCCTGGGCTCCCGCCTTCCTCTCTTTTTGCCCCTCTCGTGCTGTTGGTTTCGGCACCCGCTCCTGCTGCAGCTGCTGCCCCTGATGCGGCAGTTCCTCACCACCCACCGAACCGCCCGAACCCGACCCGAAGGCCTCAATCTGCCCTCCGTTTCCAGTTGGGGGGGGCGGGTCGGGGAGCACTGACAAAAACACCTGTGGACCCCGTACCCCCCCCACCAAGCCCGAAATAATTGGGCCCTTCGGGTTGGGTTGGGGTGGTCTGGTAGGCAGTCAGTCCCCCCGCCCTCGTGGGCCAGCACCCGCGGCAGCGCTTCGCGACTCGCCGACCCGTCGCGACGACCCCCCGGCGCGGGCGCGCCAGGTCGAGCGCGCGCCCTGCCCGTGGCTCGGCGTCGGCCTCTCCGGGGCGCTCGAGCCCCGCGGTGGTCGTGGCGACGTCGTGCCGGGGGCCCCCCCCAAGCGGGGCGCTTCGGGAGCCTTGAGAAGGGGTCGGCAGTCCTGGCGCGTTTCCAAAAAGGTTTCCCCAGGATTTCCGCGAATCCCTCAGGATTCCTTTGGATTCCTGTGGACCCCTCCAGATTCTCTAAGATCTCCAAAGGGATCCCTAGGACCCCCCAGGATTTCTCGGGATTCCTCATGAGCCATTCCGTGGGACCCCCCGAGGAATCGGCAGGATCTTCCAGGATTCCTCAGGCTCCTTCCGGAGTCCCCAGGATTCCTCAGGATCGGGGCTCAAGAGACGGGGGTCAGTGCAAACGGGGGTCAGCCAGGGCACCGGATCCTGCAGGACCCTGCGAAGAGCCCCCTCTGGCTGACCCGGGTTAGCGAGCCGCTCGTGGCCGCGAGGCGGCCGCGCACATTGGCTGACCTGGGTTTGCGGAGATCTGCGTTGCAGTTTTTTGTTCCTGCGTTGCAGTTGTTGGTTTCCTGCTGACCCGGGTCTGGATTGACCCGGGTCAGAAGATCCACGAGCGGTGACCACACCGTGCGGTGAGTCGGTGGGGATTCGGGGTCACCGCACGCAACAGCTTCGAATTTATCCCTATCCCTAAGATTGACACGCCCAGAGGCGACGACAATCTCAGGGATGCGCCCTGGAAAACGAAGGGGGTCCCTAAGATTAGCATCGTGATGAGGCGATGCCCGGCTTAGGGATAGGGGTATGTTCCAGGCTGGTAACGCACGGTTTTGGGACTCGGGTCCCTCTCCGAGGACGTCTCGGGCGACGGGGGCCTCCGGGGTCCCAAGACCGTGCGGTGACGGACGGTGCGGTGAGGTCTGGGGGGATGTCGAGGTCACCGCACGGTCTGTCACCGCACCGTTTCGGGACTCCAAGTCGTGGACCGCTTCCACTCTGATGCCGCCCCGCAGCAAAGGCGGGACAAAGACAAGAACGAAGGACACCGAAAACCTGACGAAGGCAAAAATCGCGGTTCAGGTCGAGCCCTGCGAGCCGGCCTTTGCAGAATGACCCTCGCAGTGGGACAGCCGCGATCGTTCAGGGTGGCAGGTTTCGCGCGGTGTCAGAGCCCAGCGCCGACGCCACCACGACGTGGGTATGCCGTACGGGGTTCTTTTTGATGGGACGATGTTCTACCATCATTTTCATAGGTAGAAGAGGGAGGAGAGGGAGGAGGAAGAGGAAGAGGAAGAGGAAGAGGAGGAGGAGGAGGAAGAGGAGGAGGAGGAGAAGGAGGAGGAGGAGGAGGACCTCCACATCCTCCCTTCTCCCCCGTCCTACCCACGGTAGCGGTGGTGGAGAATCGGCCCAGCACCCGTCCGACCCCGGCGGTTGCCGCAAGCGGCCCTGGCCCAGGCTGCCCCCGGCTCTCTTCGCTCCACTCTCGGAGACTCCAGGCCTTCGACCAGGGAGGCGCCCACACCGCAGGCAGGGCCCATCCTGGACCCCTCCCCACCGGCCCGTGCTGGAGCGGCCCATCCTGGGTCCAGGAACGGCGCAGATCAGAGGAGGAAAAGGGAAAAGGCACCCATACCTCTGCCCGTCGCCCGTTGTCCCCCTTTTTGGGCCTCCCGGGAGGCCCTCGTCGCCACCGCTGGAGTCGCCACGAAATCCTGGTCAGAACGCACCCCAGGAGAGGTCCGGGGAGTAGCCGTATCCGTGCCTGTTGGTTTCCCCAGCAATGGCCCATCCTGGGTCCAGGAGCCCTCGGGACGAGGATAAGTCCGTTCCAGAGCGTGCTGGAACACTCAGAGCGTTCCGGAGCGCTCTGAGAAGGCCGCCGTGGCGCCGGAGCTCTGAGATTCTGAGACAGACAGCTTCAGAGCTGCCCGAGCTCAGAGATTCTCGACTTATCCTCACCCGATGTTAGCCTCGTCCTGGCTTCTTCTTGCTGGATGCCGTGGGGGCCTCCTCCCTGGACATCTTGGAGGGCGCCTTGTGCCAGGGGCACCTCTGGCAGGCAGCCGCGGCCCTCTGCCCGCACAGGCTCTCGGCGCACGGCCTGGAGTTGGCGTGCGCGGGGGCTGCCGAGGGAGGCCTCGGCGCCGCGGCCGCGGAGGAAGCAGCGAGCGGGGGGGATGATGCACAGCGCTCTCCTCCTCCTCCTCCTCCTCCTCCTCCTCCTCCTCCTCCTCCTCCTCCTCCTCCTCCCTCCTCCTCCTCCTCCTCCTCCTCCTCCTCCTCCTCCTGCCTTCCTCCTCCCCCTCCTCCTCTCCCCTCCCTCCCTCCCTTCTCCTCCTCCTCCTCCTCCGCCTCCTCCTCCTCCTCCTCCTCCTTCCTCCTTTCTTCCTCCTCCTCTCCTCCCCCCTCTCCCCCCCTCCTCCTCCTCCATCCCTCCTCATCCTCTCCTCCCCCCTCCTCCTCCTCCCTCCTCCTCCTCCTCCTCCTCCTCCTCCCTCTACCTCCTCCTTCCTCCTCACCTCCTCCTCCTCCTCCTCCTCCTCCTCCTCCGTTGCCATTTTGGCTCAAGATCGGGACAGGCCCGTTTTGAGTGAGGCAGCCCTTCTTCCAGGGCCATCCAGCTGTCAAAGGCTGGCGGACACTTTCGTTTTCTGTGCTTCTGATGGCAGATGCGGTCCCAGCTGGGCCTGCCAGTACCCAGGAGCGTCAGATTCTTGCCGAGTTCGAATCCGTGGCCACCTTCCCCGACAGCGAGCGCACTGGCAAGGGCAAGGGTGCGGGCCGTTTCGTGCAGCGCAAGCGGCAAGCCCTCGCGTCGGCCGACGGCGATGCTCCTGTTGCTTCTCTTCTGGATGATGATGAAGACCATGGTGACTTTCTTCGGCAATTTTGCAGAGAGGAATTCGCCACCATGCGGGACACCATCACCACCGAGGTGTCCGAGTCTGTCGCCAAGACCGTCACGTCCAACCACAACACGTTACTTAAGATGCTGTCCTCCATGCAGAGCGAGGTGGCCAAGCAGTCCAGCGCCATCGAGGGCCAGGTCCAGACGGCGATCGCGCCCAGGCTCGACTCCCTCAACAGGCGCCTGCAGGCTCAGCTCGACGAGCAGAAGCGCAGCCTCTCCGCGCTTGAGGGCCGTGCTGACGCCCACGACAAGTCCATTCATGATATTCAAGACCAGCTTGCCGAACTCCGTCGCCAGATGGCCATCGCCGAGCAGACTCCCAGGAAGCAGCTCGCTGCTCCCACGTCCTTCGACCGCGAGGAGGACACCACGATTGTTGTTGCTGTGTCACAGCGCCCTACTACCTTGGCCTCAGTGGTCTCTTCGCTGCGCCCGTGGCTCGGCGAGATTGGCTTTGAGGACGAACAGTACGAGATCAAGCAGAAAGGCGAGTCTCCTGCCAGGAGGTTCGAGATTTGCTTCACGGGCTCGACCACCATTGCGTCGCGCCGCGCCAACAAGGCCACGTCGCTCCTCAAGGGCGCCGACGGCTGGAAGGAGTTCTGGGTCGACCCCCCTGGTGCCGAGCGCTGCCGTTTGCACCTGGGCCCCGACAAGTCGCCCAAACGTATCAAGACCGAGGTCACTCTACGCAAGGCCAGAGCGATTGTGGAGCTGCAGTACCCTGGCAAGCGCTTCTACTCCGACCGCGAGCACGGCGTCCTCTCGATCGGCTGGGACAAGATCATGCACGTCGACGTCTTCCACGGCGACGCCCCGCCCAAGATCTACTGGGACTCGACGCAGCTCGCCAAGCATGCCATGGCCATCGACACCCTCCGCAATGCGGTCAAGGAGCTCACGCACCCGACCGACCCTAGCCAGTGGTGCCTTTAGCGCTGCTGGGCTATTTCAACTTCCAGCGCCGCCGCCTGGGTCCGCGGCGTCACCGTTTCGGATAGCTACCTGGAACTCTCGTGCACTTCTACAGGCTGGCGGGGACAAGGCCATTCTGAAGAGGAAGTACGTTCTCCGTCTACGTCCCCTCTCCACGGTCATCGCGCTGCAGGAGGTGCACCAGGACCACTTCCAGCTCGTCTCGTTCTTCAACTCGATCGCGTCGGGCCTCGCGATCCACTCCAGCTTCATCACAGACGCGGATGACGGGCATCGGCGTGGTGGAGTCGCTGTGGTTCTTCCGCCGCTGGCTCGTCAAGGGTCCACCTTGCCGACGACATCCTCAACTGTCTTGGTGCCAGGCCGAGCGATGCTAGTCCGTGTACGGGATGACTGCCGCACGCTCGACATCTTCAACGTTCACAATCATGATCTGTCCGCCCAGCAAGTTCGTGAAGTGGCTGCCGCGATACGAGTATCGCAGCGTGCGGCTGCTGACGACCCCGACATGTACACCACCTTTGTCCTCGGGGACTTCAATTTTGCCACGCATGAGGCTCTGGCGCTCGCTGCCCCTTCGGCGGCAGTGCGCAAGCAGTCGAAGTGCCGCCACGTGCAGGCCCCCAAGTGGCGCCAGGCTCTCGCCCTCCTGACCGAGATTGCGTGCGAGGACCCTACGCACTACGAGAAGTTCAACGACTCGTGCGCGACGATCGACCGCGTCTTCTGCTCGCTCACGGGCTGGCAGATCTGCCAGCTGTATGTCCAGATCGGCACGCTCGACACACCGGCGGCTGTCTTCGACGAAAAGCTCTCTGACCATGCTGCTGTTGTTGTCTCGCTTGCCTGCCGCCCACCTCGACCTGTGGAGTCTCGCCCCATGCCCAAACACCTGTTCTCGGAGCCAGGTTTCAAGAGGCGTCTGGAAGGGCTGTGTTCTGATGTTCCGTGGGACTCCATGTCGCCCCCGTTCAAGTTAGAAAAGTACAAGGAGCTTTTGAAGATTTCGGCCGCGGAGACCAGGGGCACCCTCTTTCGGGACAGGCCGCACCACCCGCACACCTGCCTGCTGCTTGCTCGTGCTCTGGCCCGAGTTGTCTGGAGGCAAGACCAGCGTATGGCTTCCAGGCTCCAGGACTCCCATCCCCCGGCCATTGACATGATCTCGATTGCCAACGGGAAAGTCGAGCTCCGCCACCCGCCGTCCTTCCAGGCCTGGGTCGACCAGGTCCAGACTGAGGCTGCCGAGACCGCGAAGACAGAACTTGAAGAGCGCAGACGGCGTGAAGGTGACCGCGTCCAGGTTCGTGCCCAGGTTCGTGCTCTTGAGCGGCGCGCTCGTCTGTGGTCCCCTCTCAATCGCAGGATCTCGCTCTCAGCTGTTCTCGCGCCAGATGGCTCTACGGTCAGTGAGCCCTCGGACCGCCTGCGAGTGCCCACGGAACACTGGGCCCCTGTCTTCCAGAAAAAGCCGTGGGACGCTGCTGCTGCTGCTCCCTACCTTCGTCGCCTCGCTCCTGACCTTCCTGCCGATCTACACCTGCCGCCGCCGTCGAAAAATATGCTACGTCGAGCAATGCGGTCTGCCCAGCACTCTGCTCCTGGTCCTGATGCTCTGCCATACGCTGCGTGGGCTGTGTCTTCGTGGGGTGCCGACATCTTGTGGGACGCCCTTGGTTGGGTGCTCAGTGGCCAAGAACTCTTTGCGAACACTAGCGACACGATCCAGATTTTTCTGCCCAAAAATGTCACGGACTTGGAGCTCCGCGATGGCAGCTGCTCTCGCTCCCCCGACAAGGTTAGAGTCTTGGGCCTTAGGAACTGTGACCTGAAGCTCATCTCCTCCACCGTCAACCGTGCGATCCGTCCTGCCTTGGAGGCCCTCGCCCCGCCGTGCCAGCGTGGATTTATACCCGGTAGGAATTTCGGCAACAACATCCTCGAGCTCGACGTTTCGAGTCGCCAGATGTCGGTCGTCCCTCACGGTTCTGCTGATATACCTTTATTGTACTCCCTGGACTTCGGCCAAGCCGTCCCGTCTCTGAATCAGGACTTCCTCATCCTCTCCCTTAGGGCCCTCAAGCTGCCTGATGCCTTCGTGTCCTTCGTCACGTTCCTCTATGCGTCGGTGGAATTAAGGGGTCGTCTCGCACCTAGGCACGCTAGTTCACATCTTCTGGATCCAGAGCGGCATCATCCAGGGTTGTGCCTTATCGGGCACTCTGTATGCGTTAGGTACGGTTGTCTTCTTGATTGACCTGGCTTCCCGGGTTGAGGCCGCTGGTCTTGGCCTGGTTCGGGCCTGTGCTGATGACATTGGGGGCACTTTATTGGCCATGCGGCACCTGGTACATGTGTATCGTGTTATGCAGATGGCCTCGGACTTGGCCAACCTCGCCCTGAAGGTCTCGAAATGCAAGATTGTCCCGTTGTCTGACAGGTTCTCGCCCGAGCTCTCGGCCACTGTCTCCTACTGGGTCTCCCGTGTGGTCCCCGAGTGGAGCTCGTTCGAGGTGGCTCCGAAGTTGCTCTACCTGGGCCTCTGGCTAGGTCCCGCTGTCGTTCCGTCTACTTGCTGGATCGATCTCGTTGCCAAATTGCCTCTGAGGGCCCAAGCCATAGGACGGGGAACCACTCCCGCCAGCCTTTCCGCTACACTATACAATACACGTGCCGTTACGACCATATCCTACGTGGCTGGCGACGCTCGCACAGGTGTTCCGCATCCCGCTCGGCACCTTCGCTCTCGACTTCTGGACGCAGATCGCGCAGTGGGGCGGCCCGCGCTGCACGCGGTGGGGGCACCTGGCCGTCGCCACCATCACGCGTGCTGCTGTGCACACTTTCCCGAGCTGGGACGTGCTCCTCCAACAGATGCGGAACCACGTGCGCTCCGCCCCGACCGACGCCACCTTGTCCATGCTGGCGACTGGCAAGCCGTACCCGTCCTTCTGGTTGGCCCCCGCCTTCGTGGAGAATCTGGCTCTGGCCGCAGTTGGCACCCCTCCGCCTGGCCCGTTGGCCGCCTTTGGTGCACGTGCTGCTGACGCTGCGCTGGCTGAACTTCGAGCGGACGACCGTCCTCGACCTCGCCCTCAGAGAGCTGCTCACGATGCGCTGCGGGCCTACGCGATGCTGAACAGGCCCATCACCGACCTCTTCTTGGCCCGCCTGAGGAAGTTCGCTGTCAGATCTGCGGGCCTCCTTTCGAACATCGACTGGGACGAGTGCAAGAGCGTCCTCGCCCGCTGCCCGTGCTCATGGGTTATGACCGTCCTGCGCACGTGGTCTGATGGTTGGATGACCTCGGCCCGAATCATCTCACCCGACGGCCAGAAGCACTGCGCATTCGGATGTTTGGGCAAGCTCGACTCGCTGAGGCACTACGCGAGGTGCCCTGTCATGCACCGTGCCCTGCGGCAAGCACTAGCGAGACCGATACCGTTGCCGTGGATGGACAGATGGGGTTTATCTGCACCTTCGCTGGCCACCTACTCTGCGATGGCTGCCGCGTACAACATGTACAACGAAGCGAGGCTGGCGCCCGTGTGGCCGCTGTCCCCGAGCGTGCTGCGTAGCTGTGCTCTCGCTGGTGTTCGTGCGATGCAGCTCGCGTCGCCGCTGAAGTGCTCGGAGATCGACCGCGAGCAACTTGGCCGACGGGACTGCCTCATTCGCAGCTCTTCTTCGTCTTCCTCTTCGGTGTCGTCACCCCGACTTACGCCGGCGGTATCTTCCTCGGACAGCGACTCGGACACCGTCTCCACAGCCATTGCTACGATCCCGTCGGACTCCGATGCCTGTGATGTTGGTCAGGACCCAAATCGTCCGTCTCCTATGTGGAGCGGGCGTTCCATGTCGCCACACCGTTTTGCTACTGATGTGCTCGAAACGGCGTCTGGGAGCCACGTGGGCGTGGATGTGGGCACAGCTGGCACTCCCTGTGCTTCGCAGATTGCGGCTTCCAGTGGATCATTGACTACGCGTGGACCTTTGATAGCGGCTCCGTCCTTTTCTTCGAGGCCTTGCTCGTCGCAGTTGGCGGCTTCCAGTGGATCATTGGTCGCGAGGGCTCCGTTGACAGCGGCTCCGTCTTCTCTTCCGAGGCCTTGTCCGTCGCTGAGAGCGGCTGCCTGTGCTACCTCGGTCTCGAGCGGTCCTTTGGCGGCGGCTCCGACTCCATCTTCGAGGCCTTGCCCACCGTCATCACGTGACCGTGAGCCTGCGGCAAAATCATCTGCCCCGTGCTCCTGGTCTGCTCCTCGCCCTCCGTCCGTCGCTCTGATCTGTTCGGCTCCCCCTCCTCCCATCGATCGTTCGTCGCCTCCGAATATAAATACGGCTGCGCCCGACGTCGAGTTCGACGTGCTGCGCAACTCAGGCGCGCCCTGCGCGCCCCCGCCCCTGCCGCCCGCGGCAAAGTCTTCGGCTTCGTGGGCTTATGCGGGAGACTCCTTCCCTCTGTACGCTGGGCTCCTCCTCCTCCTCCTCCTCC